CCTTGAACTCAAAATAATCCTCCTGCCTCAGCCTCCCGAGTGCTGGGATTACAGGCGTGCGCTACCATGACCGGCTCCATCCTTTTTTAGAAATTTTATTTTGAGACAGGGTCTCGTAAGTTGCCCAGGGTGGCCTCAAACTTGCAATCCTCCTGTCTCCGTCTCCCGAATAGTTAGAATTACAGGCGTGTGCCACCACACTCAAGATTACTTAAGTAGATCGAGAAAGAACAAAATCACCCTCTTCTCTCATAGCTTTTATCAGCAAAGTGTGATAAAAAAGTGAACTTCAACCTGGTAAATTACATCTAAGACAAACCTACAGCTAATGCCCCAAATTTTGTGTATCACTGAAATTGCCATCATAGTAATACATGAGGAAAGCCAGGGGTGGTGGAGCACGGCAGTGGTCCCAACACTGAGCGGGGTTGAGGCGGAGGATTGCAAGTTAGTGAGCACTTAGACCGCTTAGTGAGATGTCTGGGAGTAAAAACTAAAGGGCTGAGGATGTAGCTCAGTAACAGAGATCTCCTAGGTAGATTCCCAGTGCTGTACTACCAGACAAAACAAATACAAAAAATAATAGCTTTGAGGACTTCATAATATTAGTATGAGATAGTGAGACAGTTATTCAATACATATTCGTAGATATTTGAATAATCATGCACTCGTATTAGAACCTAGAAGAGGCCTTTATGATGATGCTAGTTTAAGACCAGTCAGGGTGGTACACACCTGTAATCTCAGCACTTGGGAGGCTGAAGCAGGAGAATCGAGTTTGAGGCCAGTTTGAGCTATATGGCAATAGCTCATAGCTAGCTCATAGCTCATAGCTTTTTTTTTTTCTGAAAAGAAAAGTACTAATTTAAATTGTTGTCTGTTTTTTGTAGGTCAGTATGGAAACCCTCTAAACAAATACATTAGACATTATGAAGGATTATCTTACAGTGTGGACTCCTTACACCAAAAGCACCAGCGTGCCAAAAGAGCAGTCTCACAGGAGGACCAGTTCTTACGTCTGGACTTCCACGCGCTCGGAAGGTGAGTCGTGGCGGCGGAGCCCCCTGGAGTCTGCGCTGAAGGAGAAACTTGTGCTCATTTCTCCCTCTCTAATGAAAACGTCCAGACTTGGAAGTTCGGCCTCCGCTAGAATTTGGCACACATTTAAAGTGTTTCTAGGAAATGGATTGCCCGGGTATGTTTTTAAGGAAACAGTCGGGTTTCAGTGTTTCTGAATGTGTGATAGAGAGCTTAGTAGGTCTTTAAAGGAGAGTGTCACTGTTTCCCACCACTTCTGCATTTCGCGATCGGTGCGTCTGTCTGCTGGAGCCGGCGGAGGGGTGCCTAGCTGTGTGCGTGGAGTAAGTCATTTCGTTTTGCCCTGAGTCAGTTTTGCCAGTTGTGAAATAACTGCCCCTGGCAGACAGGTTACCTGTGTGCTGTGTTCAGGTCTGAAGCAGTACAGGCTACGAGAGCAGGGCTGGGGAGTCACGCGCGTCCGGCCTGTCGGGTTTTCTGTGCTTCCCCTGCGGCTTGCTAACCTTCCCGCACCCAGACAGACAGAGCCAATCTGTGTCTGAGGAAGCGAAGGTTCAGAGACGAAAATAACCCACACAGCACAGATTGGAGCAGAACTCGACCGGCTCAAAACACTGTGCTTTATTTTATTTTATATATTTATTTTTTTTTTTTTTTATTTTTATTTTATTTTATTGTCTGCTTGGGGTGCTCATCTGTAAAATCTTTGTGATCATTGCCGTGCCATTTTCTTGCTGCTGTAATTGTGAAGTTGGTTCCTTCTGAGCTGGGTGTGGTGATGCACGCCTGTAATTCCAGCGGTGTAGGAGGCTGAGGAGGGAGGACCACAGCCTACGGTGGACAATTTAACGATTTAGTGGAACCTTCAAAATAAACAAAGGGCTGGAGACCCAGCTCAGTGTGCAGGCCCCGTACTCAGTCCTGGTATTGAAAACAAAACCGGCAGCCCAGAACTGTCTGCTGGTCATCTGCTGGTGTCACCTAGGTTGGGACCTCTGGGTTAGTTCACTTCCGGGCAGGTCTCTCAGCTTCTGCTGCCCATGATTCATGCTGTCTGCACACTGCTGCACGGTGGCTCTTCCCCAAATGCTTGTTTTTTTTTTAGTTTTTTGAGGCAGGGTCTTGTGTAATTCAGGGTGGCCTTGAACTCTCAGCAGTCCTTCTACCTCAGCCTCCTGAGTATTGGGATTGTAGACATGCTCCACCTTGCCTGGTGCTTCCTTTTTGTAAAAAGATTTTTTTGTAGCGCTGAGGTTCTAACCTGGGCCTTTTGAATGCTATGCAAGTTTTTTGCCACTGAGCTACACCCCAGCCCCTTAGCAGTTCTTTTTCTTTTCTCTGTCTTTTTGGTCCTGGGAATCAAACTCAGGACTTTGTGCTTGCCGGGCAGGCGCTTGTGCCACTGAGCTATATCCCTGGCTTTTTGTCTTTTTGAGGCAGGGTCTCGCTGTGCAGTTCAGGTTGGCCTTGAGCTCACTCTGTAGCATTGGCTGGTCTTGAACTTGCAATGATCCATTCTCCTGCCTCAGCCTCCTGAGTGCTGGGATTACAAGCACGCGCCATCATGCCCGGCTGTTACCAGTTCTTAATCGCTGAATAGTTGGTTAACTTACTGTGTTACGAGATGCAGGATTTCTGTATTGATTGGAAGATTTGTTTCCTTTCAATCCTTGTGTTACTGGGCGGCTCCAGTGGCTTGTCAGATAGACAGTGCTGGTTTTAGGTTGGCCGCTTCTCCTTCTGGAGCTGGGTTGCAGGTTCTTGTCTGAAGCTAAGAATTGAATGAAAGGAGCGAGATAACTGTGACAGGGTTCATTTGAAAAAGTAAGAGTGAGCTCTCTGCAGAGTGAGCTTGGGTTGAAAAGAAGAGAAAAGACACCTTGGAGGAAGCGGGCGGCTGCTCTGAGGAGCGCTGCTGTAGCGCTCTTCGTGGTGCTGGTGTCCTTTCCTGCTGTGCACATCTGGAGGGAGCCGTGAGAACTTCTCCAGGGTCCAGAGGCGGTGCTGGGGCCCCACGCCTCAGGCTGGTGAGGGGCACGCCCCTCGCTGAAGCCTACCCGCAGGGCTTTGGAGGCTCATGCTGAGGGGTCGGCACCTGCCTCCCCGCCAGCTTGCTCGCCTGTCTTACTCATGCTCGTGTCCAGTTGTGTTACACACCAGCCGGTGACGGCACTCACGTTCTCTCCTTGGGTGGTACTGGGGCTTGAACCCAGGTCCTTAAGTACGCCAGACAGTTGCTGTCACTGAGCTACATCCTTAGCCCCTACTTATTTTTAATTTTGGGACGAGGTTTCACTGAGTTGCCCACCCTGATCTCAAACTTGCCGTCCTCCTGTCTCATCCTGCTGAGAAGCTGGGTCACAGGCGCGAGCCCTGTGCCTGGCCTGTGCTTAAACACTAGTAAGTCAGAGCTGTAACCTGCCGGACCGGCCTGTATCCCTGCTGTGACTGCCAGGCGTGTACTGTGGACGCACTGCCACTTCATTAGGGCGTTTGTCCGTGTGAATTCTGTAAAATGCAGTTTTAACATGAAGTCTTGGTTCTGTGCTAAGCCATGGCTCTGGATATAAATCTGTAATATTTTTGCGGGTTACTTTGGAGGTGTCTTGGGTTTTGTGTCGTTTCATGAGTGGGTAGCAGAAATTTCTAACTCTGTAGGCAAATTAGCAGATTTTGAGAAGCACAGGTAAGAATGCAGGAAACAAACTTAATGCCTGCTTATAAAATTTCAGTTGTGTCAAAATGCTGTTGTTACGGATGTAGAAGACAAACTGGAAAGGTACTGTTTTTTGATGGTTGAATTTCTCCTAATAAAATTTGAGCAAAAAATTCCAGAGGGAAATAGTATTAATTTATTACCTACTTTGTGTCTGATAAAATGTAGCATATGTGGTTAGTTTAAGTACATTTCACACTACTCTGTCTCAGTAATGGATTTTCTAGGAGCTAGAATTTCATTCATCCTATTCCTCTTTAAACAGAAATGAAAATGCCTGAGGTATAGCTCAGCAGCACAAGCGCCTGCCTGGCAAGCGCAGGGTCCTGAGTTTGATCCCCAGTACCAAAGCCATAACCAAAACCAAAACCAAACAAAACAAAAACCTGAAATTAAAGTCCTAACAGATAGCTTCTAAAGGGATCTGGCCACCTGAATCCCTGGCGTATGAGAAGAAGCCGTAGTTGTCGGGCCGGGCAGTGATGCCTGCAGTCCCAGCACCCGGGCGCTCGGGGTTGAAGGCCGGTCTGGTCTGTGTCCGTGTTAATTTTATCAGACTAAGCACGTGTGAGGTGGCTTTTACACTGAGAACTAATCACTGCTTGAGTGTCACTGCTTTTCCTTGTGGTGGGGGTGTGGAGTGTGTCCAGGGCCGTCTGCGTGCCGGGCGTGTGCAGAAAGTGCCATCCCTGAGCTGCGTCCCTGGCGCTGCTGAGGTTTGCCAGGTGTGATGTTCACGTGAGGCCCTTTTCTCCTACATCTTCTAAAGCTCTGATCCCTTACCTTGAAGAAAGGGAAATGAATGAAAAAAAAAGAAAACCCTGAAGTGCATTTCCCCTTCTGCTTTGAAGCAGAAATAGGAGTATGAAAGTGTTTTCCTGACTCTTTAATTCTACGTCAAGCCGCCTTGAATCAGTAGCATAATTAGATGTTTAAGGCTGTAGTGTCTAGAGTTAGTGACATAGATAGTAATTGTCAAAAGTTAGGTGTGTGCAAGCTGTGTGTAGTGGTGCATGCTTGTAATCACAGCCGTCTGTAAGCTGAGGCAGGAGGATTGCGGGTTGGAGCTGAGACCCTGTCTCCAAATAAAAGATTAAAAGCGCGCGGATGCAGCTGTGTGAACGGCTCTGGGTCCAAGCCCCAGTACAAAACACCAGGCATGGAGATGCTTACCTATTCCCCCCCTTAATTTAAGTCATGCCTCGTGTTAGCACTGCTCACGTGAGATAAGCAGCCCATCACGTTTAATCCTGATGCATTTTTTTCTGTCTCAGTAGTTAAGCTCCACGTGGGGTTGAGGTATAGAAAGGGTTTTAACTTGCTAAACATTATTTAGTGTTTGTCATCTTTCATTATACCAAACGTGTTGTATAGTAACTGTTGAATGAATGTGTCTGCTTTATTGGCTTTATTATCATATGCTTGTTGGGATAATTTTATCAAGCCTCAGTGAAGTCTTGTGTGGAAGTATGATGTTCTAACAATTTCTTTGGTAATTACATGTGCTGTTCCCTTCCGAAATCACTTCTGAATGCGGATTCCGTGTCTGTTTCTGTTGGCTAACGAGTATTTTTGATACTTGTATGTAGGAATAATGTTGATTTTATTCTGAGTGAATCTCTGAAATGTTAAGTCATAATCACTTTGCGCTAGTAAATCCCAGAATATCCGATACAAGCCGAGCTTGGTTGTGGGTGGGAGAACGGCTGGTGTGAGGGGGCGGCCGTCATGGGCGGCTTTGTTGTTGCTCTTGCGGGCTGGGGATGCAGTGCAGGGACTCCAGCCCTGAGCTGCGTCCCCGGCCCTTTCTCATGTTCATTGATTCATTCATTATTTTTCTCTTTTCCCCATTTTAAAAATTATGTCTTGCCTCCCGTGCACCTCTCCACACCCCTTGTCTTCACTTTTTAAATGGTTCTGCGGGCTCGCGGGCCTCACTTGGGCGGCCGTGTCCGTGTGTGTGATGTTCTTGATCGTTTCCGCCCACCACTGCCCCTCGGCCTGCCGTCCGGCCTGCCGTCCTCCCAGCGTCACAGCGGGCTCAGGGTGCGCAGCGGTGTCCGCGTGGTCCCCGCACCCGTCTGACACCCCCTCCCGTGCCCGCCCTCCGTCCTCGCCGGCTTCAGACTCCAGGGAGCACGTTGGATGTGTGTCTCAGCCTGGCCCGCCTCCCCGTGATGTGCCCCAGACCCGCCCGTCCGTCTCCCTGCGGGTGACAGGGTCTCATTCTCGCCCGTGACTGCGTGGAGCTGCGTCGTGTGCAGGTCACGTTTTCTGCGCCCACTTG